AAAAAACTGACCCGAACCAATAGGTAGACCTACAGAATGAAGGCTAGATATAGGCAACAGTAATTTATAATCTAATATAACGCACGCAAATTTGTTCTTTACAGAAAAAACTGCAACCGGCCAAAGGGAGATAAAGAATTTTTTCCCTCTCCAGCGTCCCCAGTTCTCCGTGTCAAATGCACGGAAGAAAGAATTAGATGACGCATTTTTAAAAATGGTTTACTTGGATTATGAACCTCTTTATTTACCTCTTGGATTAAGAAATGCTCTTAGTGAGATGGAAGGCAGATTTAGGGAGCTGTTGCAGTTAGGAGATGGCTTCGCGCTTACGCTAGACATATGGACAAACAGAAGAGGACACAGCTTTCTGGGTGCTGTGGCAAGTTTCGTTGATGAAGTGTTCAATAGTCGCACTGTGTTGCTGTCCTGTGAACATCTTAAAGGACACCACACAGCTGAGAATATTTTTCAGAAATATGAAGGTGTTTTACAACACTGGAATTTACAAAGACGCGTTGTCAGGGTGGTGACCGACAGCGCCAGTAACATGATAAAGGCTTTCAACCTCCCAGGTTTTGAGGAAAGTGCAGTAGAAGAGGAGGGAGAGGAAGAGGACCCAGAGGAAGTTGACACAGAGGATAATCATCCTTCCCCATTCCAGCCAAATTTTTTGCAGATCATGGAGAACGTGACCGCCACATATATCACCGAAAACAATCTCCATATGCGATGCCCTATCCATTTACTGCAGCTCGCCCTAAAGGATGCGATAAACAGCCATGCTGATGTGGGCAATGTCATCACACGAACGGCAAAACTTGTAAAAGCTGTAAGGAAGAGCACCCTAAACACCGAGGAAGCTGATAAACTGGGTGTGCGTCCCACTCAAGCATGTATCACCAGATGGAGCAGTCAGCTGCGCATGATTTAATCTGTAATTAAAATGTTTGAAAGAGACTCGCAATTTCAAAATAAGCTGACCATGAATGACGTACTTCAGCTCCAAGCCCTGACTGAGGTGCTATAGCCTCTGGCAGAACTTACTAATGCTATGCAAAAAGAGCTCGGAAACCTGGGCATAATTCTTCCAGCTGTTATGGAAATTAAACAGCTTTTGTCCATAATCCAGATTTTGTAAAGATCTACGCACATTTTATCTTGTGTGTGTGTGTGCGTTTGTGTTTTAATGAGCCTGTTTTGAATGTTCTATTGCACAACAACTGCAGCTATTTTCACGGAAATAAAGTTAACGAAAATCAAATACACTTTTTCAGTTTTTGCATTTTAGGTAGGTTTGCTAAGGTTAGATTCATATATTTAATACATTTTAATTAATACATTACAATTAATAAAATTAAGAAGAATGTAAGAATTTCGCTCTGAAACATGATAATTGCTATTTATCAGCATGCTTAATTTTAGACAATTATCCAAGAATAATTGGATAATTGGGGGGAATGGATGGTATGGTGGGGTGGGGGGCCTTGGAGATAATTGGCCCCGGGGCCTCGGCAAGTCATAATCCGTCCCTGGGTAATACAAAGGCCAAATTCGAAAGTGGCTATACGACATGAGCTAAAGCATTGAAAATCCCCATGTCCACCATCAGGACAATAATTAATAAGTTCCAATCAGCTAGAGATGTTACAAATCTGCATGGAAGAGGACGTGTGTCTAAATCAGGGGTGGCGAACATCGGTCCTGGAGAGCCTCAGCCCTGCAGGGTTTTGCTTCAACCCTAATCAAACACACCTGAACAAGCTAATCAAGGTCTGAAGTGTTACTAGAAAGCTACAGGCAGGTGAGTTTTAATTAGGGTTGGAGCTGAACTCTGCAAGGCTGCGGCTCTCCAGGACCGGAGTTCACCACCCCTGGTCTAGATCGTCCTAATGCACAGTGAGGAGGAGTGTTTGAGTGGCCAAAGACTCTCCAAGGATCCCAGCTGGAGAACTGCAGAGATTAGTTGAGTCTTGGGGTCTTGGGGTCAGAAAGCCTTAAAAAAAGAAAAGAAAAGAAAATGCTCTCAACTGAAAACAAACTCCAACATACTTCAGACAGGACTGGATTCTATGGTCAGATAAAATAAAAAAATTTGATTTTAGCAGCAAACACGTCCTGCATGGTCACCCTAATATAAGCAGGTCTCATTGCACTGTCCAAGCATCAATTTTTCTGGCATCCCTCCACCTCTCCTTCTCCCCCTCTATTTCTGTTATTCTCCTTCTACTGTAGGCCAGGGGTGGCGAACGTCGGTGCTGGAGAGCTGCAGCCCTGCAGAGTTTTGCTTCAACCCTAATCAAACACACCTGAACAAGCTAATCAAGGCCTAAAGGGTTACTAGGAAGCTACAGGCAGGCGAGTTTTAATTAGGGTTGGAGCTGAACTCTGCAGGGCTGCGGCTCTCCAGGACCGGAGTTCGCCACCCCTGCTCTAGGTAGTACCACAATGGGGGCTCAAGCTGAGCCTCGGCTTCGAGCCTCCATTAAGGACAGCAAGCCAAGTTTGTTTACCATTATGTATCAGGACTGGATGGGCAGGCGAACTCGTGAAAGTTTAAGTTTGATGAGAAGTTAACCAGGTCACAGTACAATCTAGAATGGACCATGGCCCCATATCAGTGGTGACATTATCTGCGCAGTGGCTAGAATGATAATTTGATTCAAGGTTCATGAATCTTGCCATGAAAACTACACTGGTGTTAGGATGCTTGAATTCATTGACAGCATTGTCACTGTACTAAAACAGCTAACAACTCCTGGTTTCAATGTTCTGTGAAGTGATGGCAAATCCTGTTACGAATTAAAATGAAGTTAATGGTGACATTATCTGCGCAGTGGCTAAAATGAAAATTTGATTCAAGGTTCATGAATCGAATGGTAACATGGTCAGACCTAAACCAATCTTCACAGCCAATATAGAGAAAAATAAATAAATTACTTGTAGAAAAATACAAAATACAAAAAAACCTAAAAAAATAAATAAAAATGGGTAAAATTATATATATATATATATACCATAAAATCAATCATAAAAATCAAGGTGTAAACTGCTGTCATAATAGTTATAATAGTTTTCCCTTCTCAATAACTATTGTTCTTATTGAAGAACATACAGTTCTTGAAATTTATGGAATCAAAACATGACTTAATTTATTTATCAATACTCCCAGTTTCTGTTAATAAAACTTTAAGAACTACAGCACAAATACCGGGCTTCAAAAACAGTTGGACAACCGGCTTCTTCGAGTCAAAAAGGTAGAGACCAGCTGCTATAGTAAGAGCTATAGTAAGAATGTATTTGGCTAATTGACATAGGACTTGCTGACAGTGTATCTAAAATATTCCCAAATGAATCCGTGTTAAGTCCTATGTGATGTGAATTTAATATCTGAGTTACCTGTTTGTTCTCATATGTATTTGTTGCTGACAGGTGCTGCAAAGACTGTGTCAGTGAAGGAGGGAGAATCTGTCACTCTACACACTGGTCTTATTGACATACAAAGATATGATCTGATATTGTGGAAGTTTGAAGACCATCTCATTGCTGAAATCAATAAAGGGACCAATCAGTTCATAGTATGTGAAAATGCTGATGTGAGATTCAAAGGCAGACTGCAGCTTAATGAAAAAACAGGATCTCTCACCATCAGTGGCTCTGAAACCACAGACTCTGGAGATTATCATCTAAATATGAGCAACAAAATGTGCACCTTACACAGGACCATCATTGTTACTGTCAAAGGTGAGTAGATATGCATGACAAACCATAACAAAAATAGACAACACAATATTATGCATTTCTAAAAGATTTTTTATAATAATATGATCAAAACGACAGTTTCACTCACACTAATTATGGTCTCATTTTAGCTATTGTAACACCAAAGGGCCACACTGAAGATCCAGGTCTTCACCCAGGTTATACAGCACTGATATGTGTTTGTATAGTCTTAGTTGCAGTTACAGTTGCTTTTGTGATTTACTGTCACCGCAAGAGTAAGTATTACCCACAGTTTAAACAACATGAAAGAACATCAGTGAAATCTTAAAATGATTAAGATGAGCAACAGAAAAATTAACACAGCTGCTGCAAATATGATCTGTGTTTGATCTCAGCATTATTTTAGACATTTTGTGTCTTTCGTTGTTTCTATGCCAATAATGTGCTTGTATGAAGTTTGTCCATTCAGATATTAAGCACCATCACAAACAAACAACAGTAGCCTAATATAGAAATATTAAATACAACGCTGACCTTCTGATGCTTTACTTTACTTTAGAGCAAACAGTGTATACATACCAAACAAAGGTGTCTAGTATACAATATGTGTGTGCTATAAGTGTGCTATTACATGTCCTAAGAATGGGATAAGGTTTTACTGCTTACCTTAATGGAAGCTTAAACGTTTAACAAAAAATAAGTTTAGCTAGCAAGACAGTTCTGACTCCAAAAAGAGCAATACTGCTCAAAGAAAACAAATGTTATTGTTGGGTTTTCACATACCTTTCTGTCTTAATGAAGTTCAGGATTTTCAATAGATTTAAATCTGTGTTTACTTCCAGAAGGCGGAATTATCTAAGCAGGAACTCCAGTCCAGTGTGGTAAGATTCTCCATGAGTGTTTTCACTGTTGAAAGTATGTGTTTTCTTTATGTGTGTGAATGCATCCATGACCTGCGTATACTGCAAGATTAAAACTATATTCTATTCATTGCTGTGTCTCTTTCCATATTTTTGTAACAGGTTTAAGCGAGGATCAATTGAATCAACCTCAGGATCAGCATGAATCCATTCATAACAGTACATAACCACAGTAACAATATAAACAAGCTGTATAAATGAACAAGGGCTGTATTTGCTATAAACAGATAAGCAAGGTTTGGTTGATGTATTAGTTTATATTACACACTGATCAGTGTATTCTTAATCTGTATTTGAGAGACACAGTTTACAGATCTTTGACTCATACAGTGTAATGTGCAGCACTACATGTATGAGCACTACTTTTTGCTTTTTAATGGCTTAAAATTTAAGTTCTTCTTGCATTTCCATTTTGTACCATCTCATTTTTGTAGCATATTAATATTTTTTATAGATTTTTTTTTTACTGTTTTGCATTTTGCTTTGTGAATTAAATCTGACCCTTTTGTTGTGAATATGAACTGAATGTATACAGATTTACAGCTGTTCCACTGTCTGAATATTTCTGCACTCTAGTGAACAAATACTGTTTACAATGCATCAAAATCAAGAAATGTAGCTAGCATTCATTCAGCCTTTAACTGAATATGCACTATATGTGAATGAACATCATAAAAATATCATAATTAAAAAGCTTTAATTTCCTAATGGGCCTTGTGAAATGTGTTATTCCATCTAGTTATTGACTTCAAATATATTTGATAATATATAAAATATGAACAATTAAGAAAAATTTATCATGAGTAATCTGAAATTATATATATATTTCGGTCTTCACAATGTTGATTTAAATGGTTCTTATTTGTTTAATCTTTAGGCTGTTCGCATGGGGATTTGTGATTGGTCTTACAGGTGCAAAATGTCACTTCTGTTCTGTGTCATTAGTAGCTACATAAATACTGACTATTCCCCCAAACCCAATTGTTTGCATCCAAATTCAGTTCAATAGTTCAGTTCATGCAGTGTTTGATTTGTGTGCAAATACACAATAAAGCCAAATGAACAGACAAAACTGAGACTACTGTAAGAAGTCAGAGTGAACAGCAAGAGTGGATGCTTTCTGGAGTGCTACCATTGTGGATGGATTGGAAGTTTCTGAAATTGCCAGAGGCATATAGAAAGATTAGCCAGGGTGTTTACATGTCTTACCACTAGAAGTGGCCTATTTGCTCTTTTACCTATAATTTTTTTTTTTAATGTAACCTAAATGGCACCAGGTTTGCATCAGACTATAACACTGAAATAAAAAATGAAAGAAATACTTTAAAAAATGTTGAGGCAGAAAGAGAAAGAAACTAAATGTTTATTATTGCTATGCAATATCAAGTACATCGCCGTTTCATTGTCTGTGTTCTTCCAAATCTTCTGATGTCATTAACCAGAAGAACAACAGCGGCCACAGCAGCTACACTTATCAAAGCAGAGACGACCAGTCGGATCACAGCTTCAGGAGAGTCAAAACAAAGGTCGCAGTCTGAGGAGAGACACTAAATCAAGCACTGAAGAAAATGCATTATTAAAACTCTTTCACAACAATGCACAAAACTGGATTTAGACTACCTGAATGTATTTGACAGAGTTGATCGATGTCCAGATGTCTGGTCTGGGTGCTGACAGGATTGTTCACCACAGCTGTAGGTGTTTTTCTCCTGATATTCCACCTCCAGAGGTAGAGAGAGACTGATGCTGAGATCAGACACACTGATGCTGGACAATAAACTGTTTCCTTTGTACCAGGAGAGAGTCACATGACTCACATTCACCACTGAACACAGGAAGATCCTCGATGATCTTTCAGCCGATGAAGAAGATTGTGAAGTATCACTGAAGATTACAGGAATAGACACAGGAGCTGGGAAACAAAGGGGAAACATAAACAAAACTAGAAAGATTTTCTATTGTTTACAACACCTACAACTTCATCTCACCATAAACAGTGACAGCGAATCGCTTGGTTGACTTCTTACTCCTGATAATGATGCTCAGTTGATAAACGCCATTGTGTTCATTAGTGATGTTTGTGAGGGGGAGATCTCCAGTCTGTCTTTCGAGCTGCAGTCTGTCTCTAAATTTCTCGTCATTGTATGTAGTAATGTTTCCCGCCGCTATTCTGGTTAAACGAGTTCTGCTCGATCCAAACCTCCACTCGATCTCATCATCTCTCTGTACTTCTGTAAGACCGGTACGGAGAGTGAAGGAATCTCCCTCCATCGCTGACATCTCATCGGTCTCAACACCAAACACTCCTAGAGATGTACGACGCAAGACGTAAATATGTCAATATTCTAAATGCTTTAAATGCTGAAAAGAGCAACCCTGTAAAGAGACGTCAAATATTTATTACTCACCGATCAGAGGAACAAAACATAAAAAGAACAAAACGAGAGCGTGAATCATTTTCTTCAACAGTTTGAGATAAATCACAATGCCTTTAACAGATTTCATGAAACACGTCTCGTTTTGAATATGCATGCGTCCATTATCTTAGCTATGTCTAGATAACTCAACCCGGTGGTTTAGAGCCAAGAAAAAGTCCTCAGACAATCAGAAAAAGAAAAAAAAAAACTCTTTCAGTCTGCGCGCCTCCGTGAAGTGCGCCGCGAGATGATGTAGCCTACATGAACGCGCAACTACCAAAATACTGATGTTGTGGCTCAGTTTCGCATCCGGGTTTTAATTCCTTAGCTCGTAATAACATCACAAGACAGTAACCTCTGTTTATCACTTGTTTCCATGGATATGACATGGGTATTTCAATATAGTGACTAATTTTACCACAGTCTTTCGACGGTATACTCGCATAGAAGCTGTTATTTTTCTTTCCAGAATGAAGCACTTTGGTTTGTTTTACTTTAGGCCTACGTTGTAAGATGTAGATAAATAAGAGCTGTTCCAAGGGTGAGCATCTGGAGTTGATGGAGTTGCTATTTTTACATTGTGAGTGAAATTTGTGAGTGGAAATCTGACTTAAAGGGAAATAATGCCTTTGCCCATTTACCCATCAGCGCACACATGCAGTTGTAAACAGGAGCAAGACGTTTGTCCACCCAACAGAATGAAACCACATTCATTTGGGACATTCTGCCACTAAACTGGTCTGAATTAAAGTCAGACCGCAGCAGGTTTCACTTTGACTCAGAAATGGAGCTGCTAGAGTCACAAAAGCAAACAGTGGAAACAAGATGTTTCTTACACGAGAAAAATAACACCTTTATTTAGGCTAACTGTTTATATTTTGAGCTATTGTGGGAATTCCTTTAGATCCATGACAGCGCTTCACTAAACATCAGACATCCAAAAAAAGATTCACACTTTGAAGTCCAATGGTCTAAACCGGGGCTGTCCAAACTCTGTCCTGGAGGGCCGGTGTCCTGCAGGGTTTAGCTCCAACTTGCCTCAACACACCTGACTGGAAGTTTCTATGCCTAAGAGCTTGATTAGCTGCTTCAGGTGTGTTTAATTAGGGTTGGAGCTAAACTCTGCAGGACACCGGCCCTTCAGGACCGAGTTTGGACAGCCCTGGTCTAAACAAACCAGACCTGTAATTATGTTTAGAACTGCTTTAAGATAAAGGTCGTCTACTTACTGAATGCTAGTAAAAATAAATCTGTTCTCTGATCTAAAGGACTGCAGATTGTCTTGGTTCTTGTGGTGTCTTTTTAGCATCTTGTGTTCACTGCAGTTAGGCCCTGGAACAACAGCATTAACAACATCTCTCCCTCATTCCAAACTTGAATGGAATCCACTGAAGAACTGACTTGACTCAAGTTTGCACATTGTTTGTGTTTCTTTAACTTCTCTTTTCATACTGCCTGATTTTTTATTTTTTTTATTTTTTATTTTGTCACTTTGAGCTCCATTGACCACATCCTGTAGAGTTGTTTGACATAATCTGAAATTGACCATTAATATTGTTATTGTGCATTTAGTGAGATTTTAAAGTTCGGGTTGTGTATTTATTCCCTACTTGTATTAAATTAATCACTTAGTCATGATATTCTGCCCCCTTTTTTTATTGAATTGAATTATTTTTATATAGGACTAATGCTAGCCTACATTTCTGAGGGGACAACACTGTTGTACCGTTTTTTTATTCTTTATTATTTTGTATTGTGTGTCTTATTATTTGATTATGGTTTAAAATCATATGAAACTACATTTAGTATTTTGACTACACTGGATTCAGAACATATAGATTCAGACACGTTTTTTGACCTCTCATTGGACTCCTGGAGCGTCCCCTAAGTGACTAAACATGAAAACACATTTTCTGCAATGTCATTTTTTTAAAGTGCCATGTTGCTTATAATTCCTGTAGAATGGGAGTGGTCCCCGTTTAGAGACCTATTCACTTTTATTTTAAAACTTTTTTTTTTTTTTTAACTACGAGTGCTGGTTTTCTTAAGGTAGGCTATAGCTTAGCCCAGTATTTCCCAACCGGGGTGCCGTGTAAAAATATATATTTTTAATATTTTTACATTTCTAAAATGTTCAAAAAAGCATCTATTATTTAGTATCCATTTCTGATGTCATCAAGAATTAGAGATGCACCGAAATTCCGGCTGCCGAAAATGAGTTCACCGCTCAGGTTTCACTTTCACGTGGTGTGACGCTCTGCGTATTATGCGCGTGCGCACCGCTCAGTCTCCACTCATCGGAACGGCAAAGTCCACTCAAAAGTAGAGCCGACAGGAAACAAATATGTAGTACAGTATTGTTTCTGTTTGCAATAGCCCTACTGTGCAGTAACATGGTGTGGTATATGAGCAACTCTGGTAAAGCGGCCCTCTCATTCATTTATCTGCTAACCGCTATGTTATGCTCACGTGTTCTGATAATAATAGCTTTCTAGGACAACATTATTTGGATAATTGGTAAAAGCAAACAAACAAACAAACACAATCTATTAATAGTCCTACAGTTAGACCTACCTGAAAAACTAAAAAGCAATTTATTTCATTTGTAGGCCTATTGTTATTTTTTTATTAAACCGAATACAATTTGCTGTGAAAGTAAAACTTGTGGCTCATGCTTTGAGTGCTTTGTGCAGTTTGCCGCTAAATGAACAGACTAATTCTGACTGTCTGTATCCATGCAGTGAGGCCTGATCAATGTGTCAGACCAAATGTGTGCTGATAATTCTTCCCATGATGATCAATGTCCTGCCAGAC